AATTAAAATTGTCTAATTACATTACTGTGCCTAACGATGAAATATTGCATGGCTTAATTAAGCAGATGTTTAAATAGCATTGGCCATAGGATGACCCTTGCTAAATATTTGCTTTGAGTAAAATTAAGCAAATATTAAACAGCATTGGCCATAACATGATGGTGCTAAATATTCACTTTAAGTAAACTAGTGTTGTATGCAACACCATAGTTAGTACATATGCTAAAATTGATGCTAAGCTTAAGGGATGGTTTAGAAAAGGATTTTTAGAAGGAACAGTAAGTAAATCAAATTTTATATTTTAAATGAGTATATTTAAAATTAATATTTTTTAAAATAAAATATAAAATTAATATATTTATTATTATAAATAATATATAATTATTTAATTTAAAATTAAAAAAAAAATTCTCTTTGTTTTAAAAATTTTCTGTCAACCATAACTTAATACATGTGTGTCTAAGAGAGATATAACAAATAACTTTATTTTATGTGAAAGTAAAATAAACAAATATTATCAATTAAATTTAACATAAATGATAAAGATTAAAGCATAAAAGAATGTATAACATTTTAAAATGATTATATATCTTTAACTATTCATGTCATGTAGTATAATTAAGATTTATTTCTTTGACTCGATATTATCAATAGATAATGGTTAAAATTTAGAAGTTATATATTTATTTGTATAAATAATAAATATTGAAAATAGATAAAAAAAAATATAAAATTAAAAATAACGTAGAAAGGCAATTATTCTCAGACTTGGACCACAACTATAAAAGATCTTAATAAATGAATCATGTTATCTTTTTATTTTTAACAAAATATCATTTTTGGTTGAAAAGGCAGCTACTTCGTGGCATTGATTGAGTGAAGCAATGAAATCCTGGGTTGATTGGAAAATCATATTAGTGTTTGTTTTAGAGGGAACGTATAACGTAAGGTGTTTGAAAAGTATGGATTTGTCAGTGATGTCCCTCTATTTTTATTGCTTCTTCCAAATCTGCTGCAATTTTTGTAATACTAAAATATATTTTTCTACAAACTCAAGCATGTTGTTGTTCAGACACTTATAGTAAAGTCCTTATGGGCCATGAAATGTGAAAGAAAATACTTTTAGAGAGGTGCAAGACATGGCATTTAGTATGATTAATTTGTTCAAACTAATTAATAATGTTTGTGATCATATGTTACAACTACCAACATCAATAAATAAATAAAGTTTTAGATTTTTTTTTTTGCAATTCATTTTTTCAAATTTTATTATCGTTTTTTTCTCAACTTTCTCATTGTTAATTATGAAAATAACCAATTAATATGAGGTGTTGACATATCTAATGTATTATTTTTCGAAGGAAAACTCAAGAGGATATATAGTTCTACAGCATGATTAAATAAATTAAATTAGATAATATAAAATTTGATCCCTTGATATAATGTAACCCATACATATTTGCAGAGGAAAAAAAATGCTAACTGCCACACGACAGGCATTCTTTTTACTAGATATAATTGAAGATTTGAATCTTAATTATATTATAGGTTCTCAAAATTTTAGATCATGACAATTTAAAAGAGTTAACATGCCATGCAATGTATCTCTATACTCATTAAGTGCAAAGCTAAAACACGTGCGTACTTTAGCAACCTTACCCTAAAAAAATATATAGTGCAATCACATACTGCTTGAACTGAATTTATTTCCCTTCCATCCATCAAAATTACTGTCCATGTGTTGCATTAGCATATATATATATAATTTTCTAAAGTGAAGGGCAGTACTCAGCAGACAAAGAGATCAAACACAAGATGGGGGACCATATTAGCAATTACTTTGTTACACAACCAATACACCTTGTTTTTGTTTCAAGCAAAATTAATACCTGACACAACCCCCCCCCCCCCCCCCCCTATGCATGTCATTTTAAGGATTTTGTTAACACATTTTTCTAATATATGGCCATATAATTTAATAAATAGTAATTTTTATTAAAAACTAATATTTAATGATATTAATATATTAAATTTTATGATGTTTTGTGTTTTTTTATAAAAATTTACTATGTATAAATTTTTATTATATATTTTTGTGCATACGTTTAAAAAACTGTCTTTTAATATTAAATTTTAAGAATAATTTTAAATATATAAAGTCAATATACTTTTTTAAAAATATATCTTTATCACTTTAAAAATATAAAAATATACTAACATATTACCTTTTTAACAAAGACTTATTATATTTAAATACTTAAAATTAGTCTTAAAATTCCATTTAACATTTTTATTATTTCAAAACATTCTTCCAGTAACATGTTTTCTGTGCAAACAATGTGCAATATTTTCATACACTGCTATAACAACAATTACAAATATGATATTATTTAACTAAACGAACTAATAAAGGTGACAAATTGATGAAGTCATGTCAATAACATTGCTCTTGTACAAATCACATCCCATGCATGATATATAGTTATGTCATTGCGATTCTGCTCATGACTTATGAGTGACATGCCCATCTCTCTATTCTTTTTTGTTTTTTAGGAAATTAACTGGCATGTCCTTTACTTGATCATTTATAAGGATTGCCAAAGTTTGTACATATAATTTGAATTTAATTTGTGCTACCAACGAACACATATTAATATGTTACAGACTCAAGGCAAAAGAGGAATTAAGAGAATGCCAAGCTTGAACACAAGAAGTCCACTATGTACAATACATCTTTTAGTCAGAAGCAACCTCAAACTGCTCTCTTTGTAAGAACACAAATTAGAACATCTTTGATGGTGAGAAGTGTGTCTTCTATTTCTTTGTAGAATGAGAAAGCAATCTAGATTTTGTAGTGCATCAAGATATAGCTAGCATCGTACCAACATAATATTAAAGAGTTTTTCTAAGTGCTTGACTATGTGGTACTATATATATTTCTCTTTCTCAAAGTGCCATTACTTGACATGAATTGTATCCATGACTAAGCACAAATTCAGTGTCCAATTGAACTATGAACTTCATTGACACAATCCCCTTCACCAATCTCTCTCTTATTTCAAAAAAATCGATGGTATTTCCCTTCCTCTTTATTGACTAGTATTTTTCCAATGCATATTGGTCATTTCTCTGCAACATTTAAGCATAGATTTGTGTACAAGTTATATAATAGGTGGGAAAACAAATTAAGAGGAGAATGTCCCAGAATGTTGTGGAAATCAGCAGATATTCTAATTTCTTACACAAGTTAACATGCTCTTGTTATTTATTTAACGTAAGGTGTTGCTAATAAGTATTCTTAAGACATTGATTAAAGAATTAATAAAAATTAAAAAAGATATGAGATCCGAAATATATCATTAATAATAAATTTTTTGGACAATTCTTTTTTTGAAAATAAATTTTCAGCTGTGTCCATATACCAGTCAAATTATAAAATTTCTCCATTACGCTAAAATGCACCATCTTCTGAAATTCTGCCACAATAGCCTCTTTCATTAATTGCTCATCCACAGTGACACATCCTTTTGTCAATATTTCGATCTAGTGAGTTCAGATTTGATAATAAGAGGGTCATTAAATTGAGGGAAACAAGGCACATGGGAGGTGTACGAACACGATCGATGCTTCGTCCATTGTTTTTTATATTTATTGATATAAGTTCATAAACAGGCCAGACATGCAAAAATATATATTATATATAAAGTTGAACACAACCTAATTCAAAGCCTGAATCTTGCAATTTATAATCTTATGGAGTACTCAGTTACCGCTGATTAAGTTAATGGCAATTTACTTCTTTTTGTTTCACTAGAAAGGACACTTTTAAGTGTCACCTTTATATTTTTGTTGTATTGTTATATAAATATAAATACACATTCAATGCCAATTTTTAGTATTTTAAATAATAAATCTGTTGCGTTAATTTAAGCTAATAACACAGCATAAAATGAAAATTTTCAATGTGCTTTTGGATTCGTGAATTAAATTTAAATTTTAATAGTAGAATATATCTTCCTAATTATTAATCAATTATATAGATACTAAGACTTGCTCGTTTAGTCCTAGTTAAATAATTAAAAAAAGCAACTGTATTTTAACTAACGAGTAACCATATAAACCTAAAATTAAATAAATAAAAAATATTAACATTAATTCTTCAATCTGGTTTTAAAAATTCAAAATTAATATAATTTTTTCAAAATATATTTACTACATTGAAAATAAAAACATAATAAATGGATGCTTTTTTAAAAAATATTATTTGTTATACTTAAAATTAGTCTTTAAAAAAATTAAATAAATAAATACGAGAATGAAGTAGTTATGACTTCTTAACTTCTAATAATGCAAAGCTTTAATAAGCTCATGGACTAATTACTTTGGAATTATTTGTTTTACTTTCAAAAAAATGCTTCTTACACTTTATAACAAAAAATACACATTCAATAACAATAAATAATTTAGATTAGTTTTTACAAATATATTTCAAATATATTTAATACTTCAAAATTAATTTTAACTAAAAGATTACTTAATGACTTCCATTTCTTAGGCTTCATTTTACGCAAATTTAAGGTGCATATATTTCTAGATGGAGATAGCACAGCTACAAAACCCTTTTAATACACACAATAATGCCGGCTGAAGGAAGTTTTTCTTTTTCTTGTGTTTAAATACGCACATTCCCGTACAGATTTTGTTTTCTTCTTGATAAGTCAAATCCAAAGTCAAAGAAATTATGTATTTGGTTCCATTTTGATAAAGTACGTGACATCCAAGCAAATGAACAGAGAGGAGAAAGAGAATCCGAATACATGTTCTTTAGTAAAAAAAAGAAAAAAAAAACTAAATTTTTGTGATAATAGGAAAGTATAGTATTTGTGAAATTGTATGAACTTAGTTTGAGAACAAGGGGTGTTGGAATTTAATTTGCAACCTTATAAACATTGAAAACTAATTCAGAATGCGACATGAAACCAACAGCAATAAAGACCATACTAAATGTTTCCTTTATTGAGTTTTCTATGTACAGTGTGAACACAAGAAAAAAATTACTTTGAGGGGTAAAAGACATTCAATTCGCACACATTCTTGTCTATTATCAGCGATATCCAAACATATCCTTTACTTAGAAAAATCCATAGACTTTAGAAATTAACAGAAATATATTATATCAAGTCAAATCCAAACAAATTGATATGAACATTTGATGGTGGAAGCGACCAACCAGAGAACTGTTTTTCCACAGAAGAAGAGTAGTACCCGATATTGCTATCAGAGAATTACAATAACACACACTTCCAAGGAAAACAAAAAACCAAAAAAAGTCTCTGTTAAAGCATCAACAAAAACTACTATATGGAAACTCCACATGTTTCTGTGAGCATGTTCGCTTTTTATGGTGATGATGGGAAGAAAATCTTGAACCTTGGTTTGAGTTTGAGGAATATGCTGCCTATATGTGTCTCACACACCTTCACCTTCCAAACACGCCAATAAACCCTCTCATGTTTGATATTCACATGACTTTGTCACGAAAAAATTATGTTTATCTCTTTTTTTGGATCTTAAAATACTTTAGCCTTATAAAAAAATTATGAAAATTTATATAAAAAAGAGATAAACATAAATTTTTAACGCGACAAAATCATGTAAACATTCAACATGAGAAGATCCATTACCTCTCCAACATCAAAACATTGGGGAATCTGAAGGGGAGGAATTCACTAAATTAAGAATGCTGTTCCAATAGTTATTGTTATCTTCATAGAAATCGCTGCCACTGCCACCACCATCACCGTTATTAGACTCTCCACCACCCTCCGACGACAAACTCCGGTCATCGGAGTGTGTTTTAAGCAAAAGATTGGTGAACCCTTCTTCAACAATGACATCTTCATGTGAGCCACTAGCCCTAAGAGACTCAGAGGCCCATGCGCCTTCCATGGACATAGTTAACTCGTGCAAACCAGAGCTAAAAGTACTCATTGAACTTTCATAACCTTTCCACTCTTGCTCACCTTCTTCCTTCACAAGAGAAGAAGAATTACCTGAACTCCCCACAAACTCAATCATAGGCACTGCATTATTATTATTATTACTACTATTGTTATTATTTTCTCCTCCAATTCCACCACTTGTCATAGTTGGTGGTGCATTCTCAGAGAAAGAGAGAGTAGATGTAGGAGATTCAAGGTCCCCACTTATCCCAACAGTGCTTCCAATGCCACCATTTCCTTCACTTGACTTTAACCACCCTCCGTTATTCCAAGCCTTGAGCACATCAAGGGAAGAACGTGAAGGAACATGTGATGATGGTGGTGGTGGTTCTTGTTTGTTGTTATTATTAAGAACTGAAGCTGAAGTTGATGCAGATGATGTGGATGCAAATGTTGATGATGAAGATGCAAATGTAGTAGAAGAACTTCCAAGTTGTTGTTGAAGTGAATGTGAACGTAGTTTTGATTCTCTTACTAGTCTTGCTTCAGCTTCAAGGCGTGCACTTTCCCACTGAGCCATGTGGCTAAGGTTTGCAGCGGTTTTGGATTGACCATCACTAGAGAGAAGAGCATCATTTTTTGGCTTGTGTGTCACTGGGTCAATCCCCATTTTTGTTAACCTTTTCTTAAGATGTGTGTTCCAATAGTTCTTGATCTCATTATCCGTTCTCTTTGGTAAGTGTGTGGCTATTGCCGACCACCTGAGTACAAGGACAACACATACATAATACAAACACACCACAAAAGCCAATGTTAAACCCTAGTGTAATCCATCTACTATACTAAAAGAGAGTAATTTTTGTTGCTCTTAGTTAATAATTCAATATTTATATAGTGCAAAAAAATGTGACTTGATTTATGAGAGGAAAAGAAATATTCATAACAGGGTACGTAAATCGTATTCATATCATGTCTGAGAGCATTAGATAATCACATGCATATGCGGCATATTACTTTTGAGTAGCAGAAGATATTATATTCTTTTGGCTATTAAAGATTCACAGATTGAATAAAATTGGATGTCAGAGAGAAAATTTAAGGAAATGGCAGAAAGCACAGTGACTCAAAATTATTTGTTGGGGAAATGGGTTGGAATAGTTGGGTGAAGAAATTGAGAGGCCATTGCATTTAAGACATACTGCACAGAGCAAGGGAATTGGAAAAGAAAAGAAATTATAGCTCACATCACACACGCAAAATGAATGATGCATAGTAAGTACGCAGGGTGAGAAATGGAAATGAAATATCAAGTTGAGGTGTTAAAAATAGTGGCATAATTATAACTATTTTGATTTTTTTGGTAATAAATTTCCAAAAAATTGTAAATTAAAATATCTGTAGAAGGCAAAAATATATCACTTTCAAATTTTAAAAAAATAAAATTAGTGCATGATGGGTCTTGAATTTTGAATACATCTGCACCTGAGTGTGTACTCAGAAGAAAATGAAAGGGAAAACTATGACATAAATGACTTAAAATTAAGGTTAGGCAAAAGACTTAATGTCAAGCATATATATCATACTAAGAACTCAAAATAGATAGATACCAAACCTGTTCCCTAAGAGAGCGTGGAGTTGAATGATGGTTTGCTCTTCTTGCAAACTGAACTTTCCCCTCTTAATATCAGGCCTAAGATAATTGGTCCATCTTAGTCTGCAGCTCTTGCCACATCTCTGAAGTCCTATTTACACAAATAGCACAAACACTTACAAAAGTAAGAACTACATTGCAATATTCTATACACATGTGTACTAAATTATTATTATTATCATTATTATTCACAACATATATAACATATCAAACTAACACACACAAAGAAAAGTACCAGCTTTTGCTGGCAAGGCACGCCAGCTTCCATGACCATGTTCTTCAATATAAGCTAAGAGCTTTTGATCTTCCTCAGGAGTCCATGGTCCTTTCTTTAAACCCACCTTGTCGCAGCATGGTGATCGTCCCATTTGTAAGTGCAAACACTAAAGACTGTAGAACCTTTTCCTCTTATTTATATAGCACAAAGCAAGAGAAGAAAACTATGGAGAGAGAGAGAGAGAGATAGAGAGGGACATGAACTTAATTATAAATGAAGAGATGGGCAGAGAAGAAAGGTCAGCGGCATAAATGGGATAATAAACTAAACTAATTAAACATTACTGTGTATATGTGTGTGGACTATGCATGATTACAAGAGTACCCTTCACTCTCAACTCAATTTTCTATGGTATATTCCACCATGTCTAATTGGCTGCGAATATTATATTCATGCAACACATGTTGATGGAAGGATAAACGAGAGATATGAAAATGAAGGGATTAAATTGTCTTTTTATTAGCATATCTTACTTGGGGTAGAATTTTGAACCCATCGACAACAATGAGCTACACCAAGTTATAGCTAGCCATAATTTTTAAGTGATACGTCACCTTGTATTTATGGCATGGCTAGGGCCGGTTTTTAATTATTCATCATATGGGTCCATCCCAATTTTTTTCTTTTATCTATATATCCATCAATATCAGTTGGAATATATTTATTTTTTTCCCATGATGCTATTTACAAGTTATTCTCTTTACATCATCAAGCAAATGTTATTTTAATTATAATATTAATAATAATAATAATAATAATAACATGCAAATAACGCACCTCCCTTTAATTTTCGGAGCATAATGACGAGATAATTGATTTGACGAAAACTTTTAAATTTTGGTTAGATTCACTAAATTTGTATAATACATTTTATAATTATCTAAGAAATTTTATTAAAGTTGATAAAATGTCTAAACCATTCGAGTTACTCAATTAAGCTCACTCAAAGTGTAAGATTTAATAAATTTGATGTTTGAATAAATTTTAAATTTTTTAAATCTAATTTGTGTGGATTTTTGGAATAAATTTAAGTTAATTTAATTTGTTTAAATATAAAATATAAATTTGAGCAAATTTAAATTTCTAATTTTATCTACCAAATAAAATGTTTTTTGTTTTATCAGGAAACTTTATGTCACAGCTCTCTTTTTTAACACATTATTTCACAGCTCTAATTATCACCAACGGCTAGAAATGCATTGGTAAAACTGGGATTACGAATGGCCAAAGTTATCAGTAACAAGTTAAAATGAATTATTGATAAATCTAACATCATTAATTTCCCGAAAGATAAAGACGCTAAAGTTATTGATGAAATAATATACTAGGTCCTTAAGTATAAAGACAAATTTTGTAATTACTGATGGATACTTACCAACAATAATAATAAAATATGTATTGTTTACAGTCTTGGGCCATTGGTAATGATAATCGATAATTCACATTTAAAACCTCTCAGCATCCTTACTTTCTTCATTTTCTTTCCTGTTCCTGTTTTCTTTTTCCTTAAAATTCTCTCAATTGCACAAGTTTCTTGTAATCAATCTCCATTTCAGTTATTTGGGTTGTTTTCTTGATATTTGTCAAAAATCATATAATTTTTATGGTTAGTAAGTAGTTTTAAATGCCCCCAAATAATTTATTTTGTTTGCAATTGAACATTAATATTTGATTCCTTGTTTTCATTCAGGTTCTCCCATTCCTATCTCTCAAGTAAATCCTAAAAATCACATTCTGTTAAATTATCAATATAATTGTGTTGATTTTGTCTATATGGTATCTTAATGTAATATATATTATGTTATGTATGATCAACAGTTCACTAAATAAAGTGTCATATACTAATAGTTTAGTATTAAATTGGCTTGCATTGAAATAACTTTTTCTTATCTAAAAGAAATTCAAATTTTATATATATTATGAGTTTACATTAACAATAAATATATTATTTTAATATACAATTTGATTATAGTAAAACTTTGATATATGATACTAGTACATCAATAATAATAATATCTATAATAATTTTTGCTAATAATAAATTTTATATAAGATAAAAACTATTTATACTAACAGAGATGATCTCAGTGCTTGACATTTTGTCCGATACTGTACTAACATTATTTTATAGTGGGTGAAATCGTAGATGATTTATATCTTATGTTTATTTAGATAATAGTTCCCTTACCTGTTGGGTTAGTTTATTTTTTATTTTTTTGCTAATTAGGGGTTAGTTAATTTTATTGTGTTGTAAATTTTGTTACTATATATTAATTCAAACAACTCCATTCCTGTTAATTAGTTAATTGAATAATTTTAAACTACTTCTACTATAAAATTGTTTAAAAATTTATTAAAACTAATAATTTTCCATTTATTTTTTAAGTAAAAATTAAATATGTAAATCAAAATAAAATTTAATTAAAATTATAAAAATATGTGCTTAATTGAAATAAATTAGTAGAAAAATATGAGTAGATTAACTAAATGTTGATATATATAAAAAAAAAAAAATCAATTTCAGAGTATAAGGTCGAGATTTGAGACCAAAAATTTTTCAATATGAAAAGAAAATTTTTTATTGTAAAGTTAAGTCGTAGCTTGAGAATGACTAAATTGATGGTTATAAGATATTTACTATGAAATTATATTATATCTTTTTTTTAACCTTGTTCATTTTATTTTAATTTTATGTTGTTTTATTTTATTATTATTTGATATATTTATAGTAAACTAAAATTCATTATTGACTATGTATCATATGATAATAGCTTCTTAATTGCTCGACAGCCTACTTGGTAATAACGTTTTAATTTAACAATGGTCGATCCTTCAATAGAATCTCTTTAATTTTCCAACCAATATATGTTTATGAATTGTAAATACAAAGAAAATTATCTTTTATTAACAGTTTAATATTAGACTAGTATCTGTTAGTATATATATTTTTGGTATAAAAAGAAACTACTAGTATAAATATTATGATTTATGTTAACAATATCATTATACTAACCAATAATTTTTTTGGTAAAAATATTAATTTATTATTAATGTATCAAATATTAATGTAATTTATTATTTGTTAATATAAATCATCAAAATTTATGTTAACAAATTATTTTGTTAAACAAAGATCATACTAATAAAAATTATTCCAACATTTAACATTTTTTAAATAGTGTGTTAACCGTAATCTATTCATCGATGATCTCATATTATCGACAAAATTTAACCATTATCGAAAATTTTGGCTATTGATAATGATTGATTTTTCAGTAATGAGTTGAAATTCACATAAATTGAGCTCAGTATGATGTAAACTATAAACAATTCTTTCGTAGTCACCTAAAAAAATTGTTTTTATTAAATTTACAAAAGAATTCATGAGCTATATTGAGTCAAACTACTTTTCATTTGATAAGACTAAGCTCAACTTGTTAAAAAAAATGAACTTGTTTTCTTAGTTCAAGTCTTTTCTGACTGAGGTCCGTGACAAGGAGTTCAACGGATTATAGGCTCAAATCTTATATTTATTAATATTTTTCTTTATTTATATATTTTAATTTCAAAAAGTCATAATAACATGTAAAACAAATCAAATACATAGATTTATAAACATTTATTAAATTAAATGCATAAATGTTATTCAAATAATTTTTGTGCTTTTAAGTAAGTTTGACCAAAAAGTTGAGTAAAACATAATCTTGTCAGTCCTATGTGATGCTTGAAGAATAGATTATTGATATCATAGCAATGAAGAATTGCTGCTAGAAATTGGAGATATCCAATTGAGGTCGGCTACAAACCTACAAAGAGAGCAGAAGTAGTCCCTTCCGATTCTGATTTGTGTCTAGCTGCTACTTACTGAATCACTCATCACTCATGTAATCTCTTATGTGTTGTTGCATTAATTTATGTTCATTATCTAATGGTACATATACACAGTCCCAATCCGAAAGTATCTCTGATTAAATGAGCTACATTTGGTCTAGCATTAGGATCACAAGAGGCAGAAGCCTATCTTGTTTTCTAAGAGAAATATTGAATAAACAATTCTCTAATAATACACTTGTAAATGAGCTTACATTAATACAGTATTGATGTTACTTTTTTATAAAACAAATTGCTTTTAATCTTAACCAATATAATTAACATTCTATATAAAAAGTATTCAACATTATTTTATAAAATCAGAAGATATTATTAAAAGATTGAGAATTATTAAATTCACATTCAACAATTCATTGAAGCACTTAGGCATACTATTAAGGGAAAAAGCAGATGGCCTAGCTAAACCAAGTCGGCTTCCAATAGAGAGCTGGTAATGGCTTTTAACTCATAAATCACCAATTACTCAGATCAGAAACTTGAGCTGCCAAAAAAGGGTGGCACATTATAGTGGTGGCTGTGGGCAAGGTGATTTCATGAAGAACTTTAGTAACAAAAGAAGGGTGAGGGGCATTTTGGTAATTAAGGAGGGAAAAAAAGCAATTTATGAGGGTGGGGCTATAGGGTTGCGGAAGGGTATCTTGAATGATTTGGTGCATGAAAAGACAAAAGAAGGGTCCCGTGATGAAAAAGGGCTAAAATAGAAAACTTAAATGTGCGTGCTTGTACGTGGTGTGAGATGCAAAAGTCTCATTGATCCAAGACTCATATTGGCTGCAAGAAGGACAATGGGGACACCCTCCTTAAATTTTCTTTGATCGTTGCCAGCTCTAAGCATTGTAATGGTCCAGCATAGCCTTAATGAACCCATTAAATGTGTGACTATTACACTTGTCAAAGTGATACAAGTCCCACATGGTTCTTATCTGACAAAAAGAAATGAAAATCAATTCATCAAATATCAAACTTGTCATCTTCTTTACTTTTACCCACATTAATATGGTATTTTTACTTTCCAAATAAGTTTCATAAGCTCAGAGAAAAACAACCATAATGGCAGCATATATAAATAGACAGAGAGAGAACAAGATTGTGTACTAAAGATAAAATAAATATACCAGTCCATGACAGTACTTGTGTTCGTTTAATTTATAGATGAATAGAATTATAGTTTTGATAAAATTAATTTTTACCTATTGAATATAATTCTAATATATATATAAATTAATTGACATTGCATATTATTTATTAAAAAAGTAAAAGAAATACTAGT